CCAACAACACGTCATTGGGCCAGAAATCTGCTCATGCAATCACATGACTAAAGCTGTCACCTGAAATGCAAGCAGTGATTATCTGTATTCCATCCTTATCAAATACTTTCTAGGCATAATTTACTATACTGATTTGCATTTTCCTTATTACCAATGAAATGCAGAGGAAGATTAAAATTGCAAGCCTCTAGGTAGAAATTTCTTATTTTAACTTCAATAGCCATTAGGACAATATTACTTGGAAACAGATTTTCTACTTCCTTTAGATGTTCATGTCAAGGTCATTGTTTTTTTGTTTTACTTTGTTTTCTATTAGTAAAATACCTTGGAGCTTGAGATAACAATATCTAAAAACTCAAATGCTCTTTGGGGCCAAAACTAAGAAAAATTAAGATACACACATTTAATTGGTTCCCACAGTTGTCTCTTGATTTCAAATTTCATGAAGGTAGAAGCCATGTTTTAGATGTAGTGTATCCTCAGTTTAACAAAGTGCTTGATAAAATTCACAAAACCTGATCATTCCAAACATAGTGCAATTTAATTGATTTGATGTGTGCTTGGCATGGATTATTTAAATAACCCATTTATTGTCTATACAGTATTTTCTGGCTGTCTAGTACAGATGATATAACAGTTGTGTGTGATAACATCTTGTCACAAAGAAGTATTTACTGATACCAGTCAGTTTTATAGAGAAATATTGGGTAGTGCCTTAGCAAGTCTTGCTCTGTTTACCTAGAATTCAAACCACTCGACATCTATCTCCCATGGACCTCTTAAATTTCTCATACTCAGTATAAAGAAGCTAAGACCAGCTCTATCAGATTTCCAAGCTAGAAGCAGAAGTAGTTTAAGTTTCTTTAAACATCAGGAAATTTTACTCAGCAATTTAAGTTTTTCTGAAAACTTTGGAAGAAAGGCTGATGGAGCAGATTCTAGGCTGGGCCCCTACAGGACACACAGACCCACACAGTGGGCTCCTTGGAGAAGCCACCATTTCTAATGCTGCCACTGGAGCTCTGACAAACAGTAAGTCTCCCCTACCATCTTGTCAATGGCATCAAATACCGCTGCAGCAAATTTCAAGATTTTACATGCCAGTGAAAGGAGGCAGGGGCTGCCAGAAATTAGCCTCTGCCCCTCACCCTGCCTTCCTGACTTTGTCCTGAATCATCTAATTGGCTGAACTGCATTTGCATTTTTATGTTAGCTTCATGGCGAACAGTGAGGCAGTGGTAAACTGCCATCCTCTCCAAGATTGACCACAAAGGAGAGGCCTGAGTTCACATCCAGAGACCTCTCTCTGCTTTCAGAGCACAGATTTGCCCATGATCCAGGCCTGGCTGAAGCTGGGGGTAGACTGGGGTAGATGAAGGCTGTCTCTCTACCTGTTGGGGTGCTGTCTCGCTATCTCTTTCTCTCACTCTCTCTCTCCTGCTCATGAAATACGTAACTAAATAAACTAAAAAGAAAAGAACTGCAGGGGATATTGAGAAATGTACATTTTTGTTTTATAATCTCTTTATATTTCCTTTTATAAGTTCTAGGTTTTCAGTCATTAATTGGAAAGTGGGAAGGTAGGTGGGGAAGGATCACAGTAGAAACAGTTCAATAGAAAACCAAAAGCAAAGACTATAAATTTAGAGAACTTGAGCATAAATCTTGCTCTGATGTTTGCAAATATGAACAAGTCATGTGCTTTCTCTGAGCCTCATGTTCCCCATTGTATAATGACATCCAGTCCTTCTGACAAGATTATTCTAGGATTTCATTATACAGGAATGTAAAAACACTTCATAAATACTAGGTGCTAAATAATTGCAGAGAGTTATAGCAGGTAGAAATTATTTAAAAAATTAAATGAGACAATGTCAGATGCTGTTACAACTATAGCGCTAAATAAATTTTAGTGTATTATTTTAAATGGTGGTCATTTTTATGCAGTCTGCAAATTACCATAATATCTCATTTTCTAACCAACTAAGAATTAATATAACTGAAAAAAATGAGATCAAGTCAATTTCCCCTACAAATATTTGTGGTGAGATAATATCATAGGATATCCAGATTCAAAAAAAAGACATTGTTCTAATCAATAATCAGAGCTGTATGTGAATATTTTTTTAATTACTAGAGGGCACGTGTACTTACCAGAGAGAGAGAGGAGTGGGGAGACTTCCCCCAGAGGAGCACAGTCAGAACACTTCCCTTCTCCATCTCTCCATCCTGTCGGGATTTAGCACATACGCATGTGCCAAGTGTGTTGGCCAAGCCACCAGTGCTAGGATTCAAGCCTCAGCTTGTCATATGGGATCTGGGTCTCAAACACTAGCCATGGAGCCTGCCCGAAAGTATTTGATTATTCCATCATTTCCATTTCTATTTGTATAGCATTTCAAGTACTTCTTATATTTACACTAAAAATATTTTCCAATTTTGTGCGCTGTCTGATCATGTGTGAATATGATGCTTAGTTCAACTTCGAAGTTGACCAAGTCTCTATGAAGTGGATTTGAAGCACCAGACAGTAAAGAATGAAGGTTTCTAGTACATCAAGTCCCTTGATGATAGGAAAAGAGTTACTAGGGAATAACTTTTCACTTTGTGTTATCATTTAGATGGAAAAAGTATAAATTCATAATTATCTACTGTGATTTACTACTTTGATTGAACTCTAGTTGCTCGTGTGATAAGATGACCTTATGAACAGTATAACATTGAGCCCCCAGAAATCAATAAATATAATAAAATCTTTTATTGCCCCTTCCTTCCTACTCACCAAATCAATTGCTTTTTACCTGCTGGTTTTTCATGAAATTTCTGCAATTTATTTTACTACCTGTCCAAATGAAATGTCTTTTCTCCTGAAGAGGTACAGTCGTTTGCTATTTCAATTCCCCTCCCTGATTTTATTTTTCATCTCTTTTATTTCTGGAACATTCACGTATTTACCTATTTAGCATTTGAGACCACCAGATTAGGAATAAAACGTTATTCAGTGATGGTAAATGAAGACTAACAAAGTGATTAGTGAGGACCATTAGGATTGTTACTCTGTCCACTTTATCATTCTTCAAATTATGGGACGAGCCTTATCAAGCATCAGCACAATTCATTTTAGAGAGTCCTAAGAGTATGAAAGATTGTTGTTCCTGTGAATCACTAATACCTCTCTAGGCAACAGTCGTGCAAATTTTATTTGCCAGACAGTCAAGGGATTTGAACACCCTAGACCCTAGATTTCTCTCAGGAGGAATTTTGACTCTATTTTACACACCCAGAGTATGTACACCCTTGCAGTATGTTGGCTATCAGGTGATCGCTCATCCTTGAAATGCTTTGTGACTATTCTCTGGGTAGAATGGAGCAAACCAAAAAGAAGGAAGGCTTTTCCCAGGACAAGTCCCCCAGTGATGTGTTGTCTGCTGCCTCTGATAAGTTCCAAGTACTTTTGTTACAGAACTTTTCCAAACTTGCCACATATTGAAAATGCAAGCTTTTGGAAGAAGTATTTTTCTTCTGCACACATCAAGAAATGAATTTTCCCTTGTGCCGAGCAAAAGACTCCAGCTCATTTTCCAGCATTGATTTCATAATTCAGTCTTTCTACGGAGTCATTTATTGTAATAGATGTTAGAAAACATATAGACTTGGTGAAAGAGAGGTGAATTTGTCTATACAATGAGGGTCATTCCACAAAAGAAAGAATGATGGGGGCTTGCGAAATATTTAGGGCCCATCTTCTGGACTGAGTGTGGCATATGACTTAGGCATTGGAGAGATGAGATCCATTCCCTGCTTGCTTATTACCCCAGACTGAATTCCTTTCCTATGCTGTGTACCATGTAATAGAAAATATAAATAGCAATTGTCAAGTCAACACTTTTGTGCTCTGTTTATTGATTCAGTCAGCTTTCATATATGACTGTACATTGTCATTTATAACGTCAATTGATGAGATTTAATCCCACACGGAGTCTTTATAAAGCAGATAAGCATTTAAAGGGTGAGATATAAAGAAGCAAAAATTAGAAAACTGCAGCTCTAGTTCATGTACGTAGGAATATAGCACCTCTCTTTGACAGTTTTTTCACATTCTTGTTTTAAATTTATAAATTTTCATTTGGAGTTCACTATTTACCCAAGGTAAGTGTCTCATAGTAAAGTGTGTATTTTATAAAAATAAATTGAGTTGTTAAGATTTTAAGCCAAGAGGAGAATCTTAGCCTTTTTCTTTCCTTGTCCTCTGTTTCCAAAACATCACTGACTCATGAGTAGCATTAACTCCCTCTCTTTCAATTTGACCACGAATAATGTCATTTGGTTACCTAATCTTCACTTAATCTGTATCATAAAAATAGCTTCCCAGTCTCAACCCAAGTCCTTTCTTCTCCATTTATGATTTATTTTAGCATGTTCTTACTAGAGCCCTTCTTAAAACAGAGCAGACCTTTGGTCATCTGTGTTCAGAGAGCTTCTTTGCCTACAGAATTCAAAGAGAATTAATTGCAAATTCTTCCATTTAACTACAAACACTCATCATTCTGTTATTTGTACTTACCTTTCTGTTTTTCTTCACTATTATACATGCTGCATATACACACACACACACACACACACACACACACACACACACAGTGCTCTCATCCCTCATCTTTGGGCACTTGCTCAAATGACACCTATTTTTTTTTTCCCTTTCTATCTATGTGAACAAAAAGGCCAAATTCACTTTCTATCTTCTCCTAAAACTTTCTGTATTCAAAATTCAGAATTAATCTCACCCACATACCACATGCCCTAAGTAATTACCACATCGATTATGCATCAGATCACTCCATAATTATGAGCTGCTGAAAAAATAAACACATTACCTTGCTAGTTTTTCTATTTCTCAAACTTAGTACAGAATTCAGTGTCTCTTACATAGATGTTTGTGCAAATCATTGTAACTGGCTGATTGCCCACACTGTCATGTCTTTACTCTGGCTTTCTTTTAGGAACATGGGATACCAATCAACATGGGCTATGCTGTGGCCCCGCACCACTCGGGGGTCTACCCTGTTCATATGCAGCTGTACACAGCCTGGAAGAAGGTCTGGGGAATTCAGGTCACCAGCACTGAAGAATACCCACATCTGAAACCTGCCCGATACCGGAAGGGCTTCATTCACAACAGCATCATGGTGAGCGCATGTTTCCGTAGGTATTGAGGGCCCTTAATATCTACATGTGAGAGGAAGACAGATCAACTGTCACCGCTAAAGACATACCTTCAGACTTCCTGGACCCGAGGATCCAAAACTCCCAACCACCATGGTCATGCCTCGTCACAGAATAATACCTTGTTCCACTGCAGGTTTACTCCCTAGACTATGGGATAGCTTTGGCAAGTCTAAGACAAACCAGAAATAATGAGTGATGTACAGGTCACAGACTGCAGTGTCAGGATTGAAATTTTGTCTAGGGATCCTATACTTCTGGAGATTTTCTCAGTATGTGCTTGAGTGGTTTTACTGAGTTTTACAGACAGAGGGTGTGTCCATGGACCAAGAAAACACCTCTCAAATTACTACACTCTCAACAGACAGAATGGAACAAATAGCATCCAAGAGCTAAATTTATCCAAGAGTTTCTGGGATACTGTTCTTTTCTTATACATTTTCCGCAGATACTCCAAAAAGGGAGTTATATATTTTATTTTCAGGTAAATCAATATAAAAAATAATAATCTAATGTAAGGAATAAAAGCAATTTAATTTTAGATGAGAATTTATCATTGTTTGTTAGAATTAAAAAAAGGGAAATCTTTTACTGTTTGAAAATAGGCTATATCATCCCCACTTTCGGTGTTTCAGAATGTAGTCGCATCATCAGTTGCCAAGGTCAAAGCAACTCCCCTTTAAATACTGATACCTTCCTGACTCATTATTTCTATTACTTTAAGATCTATAGATTGACCTAAAAATTTGAAGTGTGGTAAAAAACAGAGCACATGTGGAAGTAGTGATAAAAACAATTCTTTTTCAGTTTCATACCTGAGTACAATGCAGAACTGGAGTTCAGAAACATAGAGGATGACAGCCTTTCTTGAATGTAACTCTGGGGGTGGGTTGAATTTATGTGTGTGTGTGTGTGTGTGTGTGTGTGTGTTGTTGTTGTTGTTGTTTGTTTGTTTGTTTTTAACCTATATGTCCTCTAGCTTTGGTTTGGCCTTAATATTTACATCATTTCTCCAACATCAGCTCTTGATTACGGTAAGATTTTTGGCAACCAAGGAACTCCAGTACGAAATGATTATTTGCAGATTATGAAGTCATGAGAGTGATGGAGTTCTTAAGTTAAATCATGTTCATTCCCCCCCCCTTTCTTCAGGTCCTCCCACGGCAGACCTGTGGGTTGTTCACCCATACTATTTTCTACAAAGAGTACCCAGGAGGACCCCAAGAATTGGACAAAAGTATCAGAGGAGGTGAACTTTTCCTCACAATCCTTCTAAACCCGGTATGTAATCTATTTATATATCTTTCAGTATCAGGGTTTTAAAAAATGTGTTTAGTTTTATCTTGGTTTTACACCAAATCATCTTTATTTAAAATTTTTTTAAATTTAAGAATGTATTAGAGGGCACATGAACTCACTAAAGAGAGGGAGAGTGAAAGAGAGACAGAGTGAGAAAGTGAGAAAGCACCCGCCCATGGAGGATGGTCACTCCATAATTTCTTCTCTTCCATTCTTCCATTTCTCCTCTCAGGATTTTGGGCATGTATGCACATGTATCTGGCTTGTTTTTCAAGCCATAGGATCTGAGACTCATCCCCATAGTCAGCCTTGGGGGCTCAGCACCTTAACAACCATGCCACAGGCTGGCACTATTCATTAATAGCACATCTTTTGAATTTTAAACCCTTTTCTTGGTAAAGCATGACTTTTGTGGGACTGACTTTTTGGAGGGATGAATAGGAAGTTGTGGTTTTTACTGTATAATATGGCTGATGAAAAGTTCATTTCTAGCAGTAAAAGGAGTGTTATCTTCTATCATAATTCTTTTAATTTAGTTCTGTTTATTTCTCAGCTTTTCTAAGGTATAACTGACAAAAGCTGTTTATATTTGTGGTGTACAATGTGGTGTTTTGTTTTATTTTGTTTTGAGAGGTTTTGCTATAGGGTGCATGTGCCCACCAGAAAGACAAAGAGAGACAGAGAGGCAGAGAGACAGAAAGCAAAAAATGTCCTCTCTGTATCTTGGGCATGCATGCACAAACGCCCGGCGTGAGTTTAAGCCACGGGATCTGAGACTCAAACCACAGTCAACTACATGGGAGTCCAGTGACATAGCCATTATGCCAACTGCTGGTCCCACAATGTGATGTTTTGATAAATGCATATGCTATAAAATTACTAGATCAAGGTCAATAATACTTCTATCTCAATTATGGGGGAGTTAGACCCTTTAACATATCATAGCAATTTGCAAGTATTCAATATATTAATATTAACAGTTACTGCACAATACAGTAGACCTCCAAAGTTTATTCGTCCCCTCAAACTGAAACTTCATACCCATTTACCAAACTTCCCCTCAGCCTTTGACATTCACTATTTTACTTTCTATGAATTCAACTTTTTTTTTTTAGATTATAAAGTACTTATCTTTCTGTGTCTGGTTTATTATATTTAGCATAGTGTCCTCTAAGTTCTTCTATAGTGTCACAAATGATAAGATTTTCTGTTTTTTAAAGACTGAATCATGTTCAATAAGATATATAGGAGTAGAGTCATCAAAAGGTTTGCAGAAAATGCATACTATAAAGAATCTATGCATGGCTTTCAATATTTTAGGCACCAAACTAAACTTTGACTTTAATTTCATTTTTCCATAGTTTTTGAAGTCCTCTCATATATATGCATATGCCACATTTTCTATATTCATTTATCTATTAATGAATGAAACTTCAGTTGATTCCATTAATACATGGGCTATTGTGAATAATGTTGTAATACACATGAGTGTGCAGATATTTCCAGGATATATTTATTCTGTTTCCTTTAGATATATACCAAGGGATAGAATATCTGAATTCATGGGAGTTCTATTTCAATTTTTGGTAGACCTTCCATGGTAGTTTTTGTAATGTCAGGATGAAGTTACTTTCCCATCATCAGTGTACAGGGTTCTACTGTTTTACACATCTTTGCCAATACTCAGCATTTCATCTTTCTTGGAAATAACCAGTCCAACAGATTTAAGGTGATACCTCACCATAGTTTAAAATCAATAATTATTAAGGTTGGGCATTTTTTTCATATACTTGTTGGCCATTTGTGTCTTCCTTTTGGGAAAGTTTTCTCAAGTCCTTTGCTTTTTCTTTGGTCAGGTTATTATTATTATTATGACTATTTTGCTATTGAGTAGTTTGAGATTTTTATATTTTGAACATTATATGTTTTCCAATAATGTTAGCAAATATATTCCCTCATTTCATAGATTATCGCCTCATTCCGTTAGTTATTTCATTTGCTATGGAGAAGCTTTTTAGTTTTATGTGATTCCTTATTTTCTATTTTTAATTTTGTTGCCTATGCTTTGGGGTCCATGTACAAACCAAACAAACAAATAGGCAAATTAAACTTTCGTAAACAATTACATGCCAATGAATTGGATAACCTAGAAGACATGGATACATTCCTGAGACATAGAATTTATGAGCACTGAATACTGAAAAGATAGAAAATCCTAGCAGACCAACGATGAGTAAGGAAATTGAATCAATAAGAAAAATCCTTCCAATAAAAGAAACCCCAGGACTTGAGGACTTCAGTGAAGATTTCTACTAAACATTTAAAGAATTAACATCTATCCTTCTCCATCTCTTCCAAAATAAATTAAAAATGAAAAAGGAGGATACTCATTCCTGACTTTATTTTATAAGACCAACATTAAGCTGATACTAAACTCAGATAAGGATACTCAAAAAAGAAAAAATACAGGTCATCATGCCTGATGAGCATAAATATAAAAGCCCTCAACAAAAAACTAGCAAGCCAAATTCATTAGCACATGAAAAAGATCATACATCATGGCCCAGAACTTGATCCATGTTTAGCCATGTGAAAGTCCAGTGCCTTAACCACCATGCCACCTGCTTGCCCTCTGCTGTGATCTGTATTTTGTCCTTCCTTCTGCTGAATTTAGGATTAGTTTCTTTTTGATTTTTCTAGGTCCTTAAGATATACATTTAGATTGTTTATTTGAGTTTTTTTTTTCCCTCTCCAGTTGCATGATTATTAAAAACAAAGTAAGAGAAAAAGCTCTATCATGTTGAGTAGCTCTAAACTGGAAATAGCAACTTGAATACTCTTCAAAATCCAGGAAGCAGGAAATTTTGTTTCTCAACACTTGCCTGTGCTCCTGTAAAACAAACAAGTTGATCTAAGCAATCATCAACGGTCTTCAAAACTAGTCCTACTAGAACTAAATGGAGCTAGTCTAATATTTTATATGTATTTCAAATTTGGTAAGTTTTGTATATATTTTAAAATATGTCCAGGACATTCTAAGAAGAATTTTTGAAAACTGAGGTGTACAGGTGAATGTTAATGAAAGCAAACGTGGAAGCGTTTCCCTTTACCCCTTCTTTCACTAACTGAGAATTTAATGGCAGCAGAGGCAAGGGGCACATCATCACTATTTTCATTTGGGGGGTCACATTCCTGATGCCATATCTAGTCTTGTCATTCCCAAGTGGAAGTAAATTATCATTAGAAGACTGGACTATTGCCTTTCTGAAATCTCTTGCCTCAGGTTTGATTGCTACTGCTATCTGCTATCATGGTGCCTGTCTGACGACAGTCACAAAGACATGAACTTACTTCTCTGTTTTTCAAGATTTTGCATTTAGTGTCCCTCAGAAAGCATCATCCAGAGACTTAAATCTGATCTTTTAAATCAGATACAAGACTATTTGATTTCTAGTATTTCTATCACATTTTTGAACTAACAAAACTGTACAGGTACTATACACTTCACTTAAAAAGCTTATCTTTCTCAGACCAACAGTTGGCATGGTGGTTAAGGCACTGGATCCCATATGGCAGACTCCAGTCTATACATTTCATAATGTGAAGATGTAAATTTATATGAGTGAAATAACTCTAACAAATATTTGTATTTACTAGAATTGTTCCTAAAGGAAAGTATGTCTGTTATTACATTTTAGACATCAGTCAAACTTCTAAGGAAAACATGTTTTTAGTGGGACGCATTCAGTACCCATGAAATCACCCAACTAATCAACCATTTCTTCTATTTACCATTCCCACTGAATCTCAGTGTAGGTAGGTCATATTTATGAGAACTTGTAAGTAGGACAGGTGAACAATAGTCTTAGTGTAATCTAAATAAAGGCAATTCTAATTTTATTTCCTTTTCCATTAACCACTTATACAGAAATCCTCAAGGTATTGTATATTGCAACATCTTGCTTGGATGACAATTTTCTCTGTAGATTGTAAACAATTGGTAGATTTCTGTTCTTAGTATTGTTTACAGTATGTTGATCAGTAAATTGATAAGGACATAGCAGCATGACACAACGCTAACAATAAAAGTAAATGTACCAGATAATATTATCCAGTTTCTTTTTTCATATTAGAACAATAAGCCAAATTTAGTGAGAAGAAATTTAATGGGGAATAATGACAAATCCCAAAGTTGTTTTCAAAGAAAATAATGCTATAATTCTAGCATTAAATAAGAATAAATATTATGTAAGGATAGATTAAACCTGCCCCCAAGTTATATGGGCTGCATCATGACATAGTAAGTTTCTTGTCATTCAAATCATTCAAACATAAATCTATAAATCTTGTAGGAAAGTAAAATCTCTTTCTTCTGTTACCATCAAACTAAATCTAGCAGCTTCTCAAGGCCAACGAAATGAGAGGCAGAAGCTGGAGAAGAAGGGAGTTTATTTCAGAAATTGATTACAAGGAGACAGGTAGTTAAGCGCCACCATCCTGTCTCAGAAAGCTCACCGCATGCTCAGTATTGAGAGTTAGAAGCACATGCAAAATCATTCATCACTTCAGTCAATCAAAGTCAATTAATTGCTTTATTCTGATACCTGTTTGTCCTCAATTATCCACTCCTGATTTCTCATCCGATCATTCTTCAATCAATCCTCCTATGGTTCTGCACTTGGTCAGACTGTTCTCACAGTCCTTTCTTAATTTCAAAATGGCTACCATCCTGCTAAATCTTAAACTATCCTGCATTCCTCATAATATCTCAACTGATCCTAGGAATATGTGATTCCTAGGTTTTTATGCAATTAGAATTGGATATATTTCTCATTGTAAAAAATATAAAGTCTGTTTTATTTGAAACATTATGAGCCCAAATTATGAATTTGGATCTCTTCTATTGCTGTTAAGTCAAGGAAGAAAAGGAAAGGGTTAATTGCCATCAATGTATATAAGAATTAAAAGATGAGAGAAAATGG